CCTTGTGCAGCGGCCCCGGCTCCGGCGGGAGGGGGGATTCCCGGGCAGCCGAGCCCCCGGTACTGCAGAGGTTAAAGATCAGCTTGTATGACCCTGGTGGGTGAATTCTTCATTAAACAACAGAAGGTGGATTTCTAAAATCCTGGGAAGATGGGCTGGGAACACAGTGATATCAGGGAGGAAGGCATTTCTCAGGCTGAATTTGCTGGGTTGTTGTTTCCCAGGTCTGTTGTTTCCCACCTCTGCGCCCCGGGCACAAAGCACGTCCCTGAGAGGGCTGGAGGAGAGAGCCGAGCCCTCGGGAACAGGCTGGCAGTCCCGTTGTCTTCCCACCACGGCTTGGGTGTAGCAGCTCTGGGATTCTCCAGGCACAGCGAGCGGTCCTGCGAGCAGGGCTCCGCGTTCTCCGGGGCCGGCGTTCCCGAAACAGTGGTATTGGTAATGCCGAGGAAATGCAGCCAGCACTTCTTTTCATTAAATTACGGAGGTGTTTGAACTTGACACATCCCTCCCGTCCCCCCCTTTCTCGCTCTCCTGCCCGCGGTGCCAGATCTCTTCAGGGGAACCCGGGCAGCGCTGATCGTTATTCCAGCAGCATCCGCCTCCCCGCTCTCCGGTCGTCTTGCTCTTCCCGAGGGACCGTGCTGGATGACTGCGAGCCCTTTTCCCTCCCGCTACGTGTTGGAAAACTTGTCACCGTGACAGTTACAATACCCCGGTTTTGACACCTGACGATGGAAATCGCCGCATAATCATGAGTGTGACAAATATTGAGGGCCTTGCTTGGTTCTTATTACGCTGTGGCAAAGTTTTCTACCCAAACACCATTTTAAAAGCAGAAGCACTGTAATAAAGAAACCTCCTTCCATATTCTTTCCACAGAACCTTGTCATTAAATATTCAATTAGTATGTTTTATTTTTATTCTCTTCTCCGCAGGTTCTGTATTTTTTTCGTCAGACTGGTGCCAGGAGTCACACTGGATTTAATAGAGAAGTAAGCCAAATTTTATGATTATTTTTTTTTCCTGTTGCTCTATATTTCCTCATTATTTCTAGCATTTCTCTTGTTTGTCTGCAAGGAAATTTCTTTGGAAAGCTTCTCACAGAGTCTGCACCTACAGTATTTGTCATTTCTTGCCTCGCCCTGAAAGCGAGCCGTGGCCGGGGAGCGGCGCGGTGGCGGGGAGTTACGGCTGCGCCGGGGCTCTGCTCGGCACGCTCAGGTCCCGGAGCTCTCGCCACTTAAGCTGT